TGTCATAATGTCACAGCCACGAGAGGTCACCTAACAATAAAATGTGACTATTAAACTATGTAACCTTCTTTCACTTCTTACAAGAGGAAAGTTTAGGACCAATGCATTGTTGGTTTATGTCCTTTCAATGGATTTGTAGACAATATCACAAACAGAGTACTAAAAGCCTTATACTATACTCACTATGTGACTGTTTTTCTTATTTGTTCCTTATCTCATGTTTTTCTTGTTCTCCACAGGATTCAACATACAATCAACCTCTTTCTATTCCAATGGCTGGACTGGCTCTGAAAACCAGAGTATTTGCTGCTGTGAAAGCCACAAACTTAGACAAAAGGTTCCAGATAATATCCAATCTTCTATTATTGGATATTGATTTTCTCATAATTTCAACATGTCAGACATCTCCACAGCTATACTGCTCATGTAGCAGCAGATATCGTATCATTAACAACAACAACTTCAGTGAAGCACACATGATATTTCTGTCAATCACAGCATCTTTCCCACCATCATTTTTTGAATGACACGGGGAATTAGTCTTTTTTCTTTGCTTTGCCTACATTCATTCTGCCATTATGTTATTATTCTAAGGGAAGGCGCCAGCCTGCAGCAGAGAAAGCCCGAGTTGTATTTTCCCATGTGCAGTTAGATCTCTATCCCTCATCCCAGCTCACAGTTTTGTCCTTGTGCAGGTGGAACATCTTGATGGACTACTGTTACACAACCCCCTCAGGGAATCCTAATGATGAACTCCGCTATGACCTTTTCTTTGGGTAATCTTGTTTTTTTCCTACTCAAGATGATGACTTAATGAACCGCAAAAAGAGAGTCATTACCTATTCAGGTCCTCCAAATGGGTCATGCTCATGAATGCTACTTTTTTCTTCTAAGTGCTTAAGCATACATCAAATCTGTCATTTTCATAGTGTGCATGTAGCAGTCCATATCATCCTGTATGTGCATATCTATGTCCTCTTTGACACAGCTGCTCTAAAGACCCACAGACGACAGTTTTCGAGAACGGGAAGAGTCAGATGGGGCGTTTTTCCTTCGAGGTTTTCCGTTTTGTTAAACACAGACACCAGAAGATGTCGACTGTGTTTTTGCACTGCGTCACCAAGCTTTGCCGGGCCGATGACTGCATCATGCTCATGCCAGTAAGTGCAAAAACCTGTACCTCAGTTTGTGTGTCTCCTTACCTCACTGTGGACTGGACTCTGATGATGTGATTGACAGATTTGTGGGCGACGGCGGAGGCGGGATGCAGAGGAGAGTCTTGATTCCCAACCGTCAGCGTCTGGGAACGCAGTCATCACTGCAGGACCGATCATCACCAGGAGTGGTATAAAGAATAAAGTGTCTCTTAAAAGAATAGACCTGGGTTAGGAATGTAGTGGCACACAATCTGACACATAGTCATAGATTTGAATGTTGTTTGTTTCATTTTTAAGGAAGAGAAGAAAAAAACTCAGGTACAAACTCAGGTACAGCAATGTTGAAATTGTTAAATCTGGTCTACAGATTAAACCAATTAGCTTGAATATGTTAATGAGCAACAGAATTTGATTGTCTTAAGATACAGCCACACTAACTCTTAATAACTGTAGCTTCAAATTTAACAGACAAAGAAGAGAGTGACATCAAACTCTCAGCACTAGAGCAGATATGTATTAGTATTTAGAAAGATCAGTAAATACACAGTGAAGATTCAAGTATCAGTAAGAATGACTCTGATAAACACTTTGAAATCATTTTTCAGATGAGACTCCTGTCAACAACTCCCAGCTCGGTAAGCTCCCTCATGCCATGTTACACAACGTTAAAAAGGTTTTGAATGTGACCTGTGATTACAGATAGAAGATACTGATGGAAATTGATGATTTACGGCAATGACACAAAGGTTCCACCTCTTTCTGATAACAAGCAAAAGAAAAACAGAAAGACACGTGTCAAAAACACATCACCTTCATCCTTCTGTTCCTTTTGTTCATCTTTCCACCCACCAGCATCTGGAGGCTCCTCGCAGCCGATGAACCCGGTGACCAGTGCTCTGATCTCAGGCGTGGTCATCCTGGGCGGGGTCAGCATAAGCTTCTTCCTGCTGTCACTTCGCCTCATGCAGAAGTCCCGCCTCCCAACGACCTCAGCCTCAGGTGTTTGGAACCCCAGCTTCAAATGAATAAACTGTATATTACATATTGAGTATAACTTTCTAATACAGCCACTGATTTACAGGGTGATCTTGCGTTATCAGCTTAAACGTCAGGTGCTTATTAGTTCCCACCAGTACTTATTTTTAAGTCAAGTGTAAGAAACATGACAAATGTACAATATGGCCCAAAGTCGCATTGGAAATGTGGCCACAGACATTAGGACCCTACTGTGAATCAGCTGAATATATACAAAGTATAAGTACCTTGAGTACATGACAGAGCACACATGCCCATAGTAAACTCAATATTCCTAAATGATAAAACACAAGGAGCAGAACATAGTTCAAATAATTAAATCGTTATTAATTAATCATTGTTTCTCCAATTTCAGTCTTACTGTAGGTACCCCAAATTTACAGTAACACTTTATATCTTATTTCTGTATAATGCCTGATTGTTTGTTCCCTTTCTTTTCTTCTACTGCTCTTCTGCTCTATTTTTAGGAACTAGGTAGAATTATTATACAACAAAATGACACTGGAAATCATTGACTGTATTATAAACTCTCACCCTTCTTTGTACTGACAGCACACTGATTTAAACAAAGCAATACTGATGTGTTTGCATGTGTGTGTTACTCAGAACACATTATAAAAAATTGTACTGTATTGTTTTAGGTCTTGTGTATTTATTGCCTTTGATACCTCATTGTTTTGGTCATTTGTTGTTTCATAAATAATGTAACTGTTTAGAAAAGCCTTCCGAACAAACAACAGTTATATTTAGTGTGTATTTGAGGACATGCTATCTTATTTTATATTCAGAGTTTTTTTTTGTGGCATAGCGCTGTAAACATTTAAAATGTGTAGCACGTAGAACCCTGTATACTAATAAAAGTTACAAATAAACATTCAGTGCTTTAAAATGTGACTGTATTGTTGCTTGTTTCAATTCAGCTTCTGCTGCAATATCAGTAGGTTTAAAATGTAAATGATGTACATTTATTTTTGGCTCTGAGCTGCTTTGTAAAAGTTGTACTTCTTGTAATTCAGTAACTTCATCTTTTTTAGTCTGTGCCAAGCTAAACTATTATCCTGGCTGTAGCCACATACTTACCACACGTTTCCCAAATTGTCCCTTTAAACTTTCACTTTAAACAGGTATTTTAAAAGGAATCAGTCGAAGAATCATCTAAGTGTCTTGATCGCCCCCTGGTGGTTGGCTGCTGTAAAGGTAATATTTGTATTGTGGGTAAAAACTTTCAAGGCATTTCTTAGGTGATTTATCCTACTACGATCAGTAAAGTTCTTTAACAACAGCCTCAGCAGTCACAGCCTTGTGGTTTCTCCAATTTCCAGGGAAATGAAAAAAACACCGGGGCTCATTTGATGACCGCCAGAATTAATCTTTCAATTTTTCCTTTATTGATTTTCTTTTACGATGACCTATATAAACGTCTACTGGGCGGCTGCTGCGTCTCACATGTCTGACTCTGCGGGTGTTTTTGTGACCCGCATGGCTCTGCTGCATCCAATGCTCTTTATCACCTTAATCCTTCATTTCAACAGCCATTTTGTGATGTATTCAGAGTCCACAATGACCACAGATAACTGAAATGAGAGGAATAAATGCTATCGTATCTCCTTCTTTCTCAGTTTATGATCTGCTGTAATTGATTAAACTCTCCTCCCACGATGGAAATGACGCTTTGGACGTTGACACTGGAGAAAACGTATACACGCTGTAAGTAATATACATGAGTGTGAGTGTGTGTGTGGGCGAGATGACAGAAAGACATAACATGTTCAAGTGCACACGTCATGACAATGACAATTTGTCCTGCATTCGGCCGTGTAGTTTACAAAAGATTGACAGTGACACCCATCTTCCAACTTGTCCCCGATCAGAGTTTTGTCTTCCCAGGTGGCTCATCTGACAAGATCAGGTTTCTAAGGGTCACTCGATTCTTTACTTTAAGTTAAACTTCAACATTAACTAAATTTAAAACAATACTCCATTTCAAATAAATTTGCATTTGTACTTTCTACAACCTCTGACGCGGCAATGACAAATATTCTAACTTTAATCTTGTCCAGGTTACATAAAAACATGATAAATGTCTGTCATGCTGTCAGTCTGATTAATATGTATGTTGATAATAACATGACACTAATATAACAATGTCAAAAAAACTACATATATAATACTTTTGGTGATATGTTAATTAAAGGTGACATTAACATAGACACCTCACAAGACAACAGCTCCTTCTCTGTCTATTATGAGTGAGGTCCCAGTTGACAACAAACCATACATACCCTAACTTTATTAAGTTTCATATTAAGGAAAAGGGGGGCTGGGTTTCACACACAAAGTCACAAAGGCCTCATGGACTTGTTTAAAAATGTGACTTTGAAGGCCACTGTGTTGGGTTTCATCGTTTGCCTCCAGGAGAGGACCACAGCACCTCAGCCACAAAAACTGAATTGTTCGTGCGCAAACTGAGGCAGCCACACCAAAGTGGCATTGACCCTGTTTCCATCCAATCCTAAAACAGGGCTGTGACTACACAACAGTCAAGTTCACCATATATAAAACAGCCCACTGCTCTCTTATCCTAAACCAGCAAAGAGACTGTGGAGGTAAGGTCCCGGCTGAGATAACATCTGGCTAAGATTCCTTGATTGACAGCTCTGGATTAAGCATCTAAAAAAAGTTTTTTCTTTTCGTAGAAATCACCTCAGTGGATTTACAAATGATTTCTTCCGGATTTTCTTTCTGGATTTTCTATGTCTGACATCTGTTGTGTTTGCCCCAGTTTGTCACAGAAGGCAGAGTGGGGACATGGCTTTATTCAGCTTGCTCATCCTGACCTCCCTGTGTATTGTGGGCCGAGAGGCCCTCAGCTTATCCGACTGTGGAGTTTACGCCAGAAGACCAGGTAAAGACCCTTGTTCTCACAATTTGGTTTCAGACAAGACGGGTTGTATTGATTTTTCACATGAAGACCTTTTGGGAAGCAATATTGACTTTAGTTGAGATATTTAATAAGCACACTTGGAGGAGTAATATTTCCAATGGTACAAATGTGTCCTCACTATAAAATCGTGGATGGGACAAAAAATTTTATATGAATTTTTTTCTGCTCGATTTTCAGATTGTATTAACGGTGCTGGTGGTGGAGTGTTTTTTTCTTATAATTTAATATAATTGTTTTGAATTTATTTTAGTTTTTTAGCATACGCCTATGTATGCATCGTATTTTTCAAAATAGTTTTGACGCTTTTCCTCCGTTGTAATTTGCAAAGTCGTTCTCATTGGTACGTTTCTACTCAAACAAGTCTTTCAGTGACAATGCTTATTTATCGTCTTCAGAATATACTGATATCACGGTGATGTGTGGCACGTCTGCCATCGAACTGGCTATTCAAATCTGCCCAGTGGTGTACACCGGATACAACGAGAGTTTACTGATCCTGAACCGCATCCGGGACAATGTGGCCTGCAAGGGGATGCTGGACACCTCTGTGGCACCACCTGTGATGAGATTCAGCTTCCCTATCAGAGAGGGAAACGCCTGTGGTAGTAATTTCTTGGTGAGTGTTGCATCAATAAAGTATCCTGAATTTAACTCTCGGTGGTGGAGGTGATCATGGGGCTTGTTCATTTTCAGCTAAAGAGAGTTAGAGCAGATTTAAGAAACTGAAAGGGAAGCTGTGTTTTGGGCCGAGCACGAGGAGGCGAAGAGAAGAGAGGAGGGAAATAAGAGGATTTTCAGATGAGACGAATCAGGCTGCTCTTGACTTAATGTAACACAGATGGATGCAATCCTCTCTGTGGAGAGGGAGAAAGTTTAGAGAGCTGTTCCACTTTATGATGTGATTTCATCACTGCTTCATGCTGTGCTGAAAGACGATGGCCACCATTTATTTTTAATCATTTCTTAAATAATCATGTTCCTCCTGAATAATTCCTCAGACCACGAGCGTGCCAGGGACGGGAATCTTCTCCGACTTCTCCAACATCCAGACCGTCAATGTCAGCGGGTTGGTGCGATCCTTCGACCCAACCATCGGGACCATCACCTACAACGCAGAGCTCAAGTATTACTACTCGTGTGCTTATCCTCTGGAGTATCTCATTAACAACACCCAGGTGGATGTGTGAGTGTACAATTATCCTATGTGGGTTAAAAACATACATTAGCACCACCCACGTTTCGCTGGCGTGACAAGTGTGGTCTCATTCGTCTTTCTCCTCGCAGGTCATCCTCCACCACTGCTGTGAAGGACAACAATGGGAGCTTCATCAGTACTCTGAGCATGGCCTTGTACAAGGTTCCACCTTACACCACATCTCACTCACTATACATTCCCTCACCTCAACACGTTTGTTTAATGTGTAACTGTTGATGAAACAGCTTTTATCGTTTTTTTCAATCTTAATCGTCAACCCTCTGTTCCTTTGCCAGGATGATAATTACGCCGAGCCCCTTCTTATGCCACCTCTGGGTGTGGAACTGAGGACAAACATCTTTGTGGAGGTTGTTGCATCCAACCTGACATCACAGTAAGAACTGTAAACATTATATAACACGCCTTTTCTGTGTCGTGTTCAGGCCCGGACCTGTATTTATCAAACTTAATAGAATAGTGCATTTAAGATTCTAAGACACTAAGTAATCCCATTTTATGAAGTTTTGTACATTTTACTCCACATATTAAAATGAGTTAGGACTAGAGCTTTTCATGTGCATCAT